TTTAGTTCAGAATGTTTGATTCTTAAAAATTTATATGAAGGAATGATTTTTGGTTTGCAATAAATAGTAAAATAGTGAGATTTCTTAAAAAATATTATTATTGACAAATCAAAGATAGATGTTCTCGTATATTTAAATAATGTTCAATTAGTTTACTTCAAACTGTTAAACTGTTAATGTTACTAAAATATATCACGAGTAATAATTATTTATAGGTTGACTCCATCTGAGGAGGGCTCCATAATTCTGTTAGTCTAGGGACCACAAAAGGCCCCAGTTTTTCTGATAGATAGAATAGGCCTAACATGTGTATAATTTAAAATGCGCATTTTTCAATGAAAGCAACGATTATCGGAATATTATTTTATCTCTTGATAAATTAATAATTATTTGTTTTGAAATACAATCCTATCGCGTCAGTTTTAATCAGTGAAAAAACAGTTAAATGGAAGTCCTTTCCTGGCCTCGTTGCACAAGATACGCTAGAACGTTCATACAGGTGAAATGTTCAGTGATAGCAGCATTGACAAGCGTGGGGTGTGTACTCTTAGAAATTAGATCCTATTTTTATTAATAGCCGCATAACTAATTAACAGAATAATTCGCAAAATCTCGCGAGTTCAAATAAAGTACAATATAACAGAAGCGGGCGCGCATGCGCGTGTGTGTGTTTGTGTAAGCGCCTATTCTTGTATGCATGAAATTTTTACTGCACTCTCGAGAGGCTATATGGTGATTTTCTTAGCTTATATATGGCACAAGGCCGAAAATATGGAGCAGCCTTGTTGAGCGAATTCACAATTATATATATATATATATGTATATATATATATATATATATATATATACATTAACACACACACACACACACACACACACACACACACATATATATATATATATATATATATATATATATATATATATATATATATATATATCATATGTAATAACAAAAAATTGTCCAAATCGTATAACACCAAAATTGTTCAATTGTTATATTAAACTTTTAAGCGTTGTATCTTAGAAATGATTAAAGATATCTTACTGGAATTCTCTGTGGTTTTTATAACACAATTGGACTCTACTTTAACCAATAAGAATTTATAATTACTCCCCAAGATTCATAAACGAAAATAATATGTTCTTCATTAATTAATCATAGCTAAAGATTGGAAGTTCATGTAGGATTGAAATTAAGTTCAAATATATATATATATATATATATATATATATATATATATATATATATATATATATATATTATTATTATTGTTATTATTACAGGATCATTTTCCAACTTATTCAAGATGATCTTCGGCCTCTAAACTTCTAACATTTTGTCCTGGTGGCCCCTTACAAGTATCACGTACGATTTCATTTTCAAGTTTTTTTTTTTTGGGGGGCTTTTTTTCACTTCTCTTTGGTCTGTCATAGTTGAAACTCTTTTCCAATGTGCCAAACGCCTTATGGATTGAATAGAAACTTCTTTAATTGATCTCTTTAACTCTAAGTTGAAATAATGATCCCTCTTGCTGTTGTGACCTCCTGATCCAGTTTTCCGCTGCACTGATCCCTCTTTTTTAAACTTATTCACCTTGTTCTCTTGATGGTTCTTGAATGAACTTTGAAGACGGAAGCCAGACTATGAATGTTGGTAATATTGCAGAAGGCCGGAAAGATCTTTTTCGTCTCACCATTGCTCAGTTGGGAAGACATAGTGGTGCTACCACAAAACGATTTTAACCTGTTCTCTTTCTAGCTGAATAACTCAAAGGGTTTTTCATTGATTTTTACGAATAATGGTGTCAAGATGGCTAAACGTCTTAACTGAAAACCTGGAAAAATAAACTCAATTAGTTTAGTCGTTTTTATAGATATTAAATATTTTGTGGGATGGACAATTTTGTTGTTACACGATTTGGATAATTTTGCTGTTACACACGGTATATAAAAATATATCCTCGCTTTAAATAAAAGGCAAATGACTGATAAGCTGAAGAAAACAAATCAATCAATCAGCCAATTGTAATTTAATAAGTTCGGCTTAGTTTCAGTGCAAGGCCCAAATTATGTCGTAACGAAACGTGGGCACCTTGAGGCGGTGTAATGGTTAGCAAGCTTATCCCGCTAAAACAATTACGACTGAGTAGTGAGTTCGATTCTCACTGGGTGCCCCCTACTTTCGGACTTGTGCCACATCTAAGCTACGCTTGGAAAATCACTATGTCGTAACGAAATGCAGACCAAAGCAGCTATAATTACTAATTAATATGTTTGGTTTGGGAAGCATTTCCGTTTCGTAAGGAATACTTTCCCGTTATCCAGTTTGAAAGAAATGGGGGTGTGAGGGATGTCAAAATGACAAAAGGGATAGGAAGTCGTGTAGAGTCATGATCGAACATAACTTGAAGGAACACGCACATAAAAGATGTACAAGAACAAAAAGAATTTGAATATACATTTTAAATATGAAGCGTTAGTATACAAGTGAACATATTTTATTACATGCGACAAATTTGATTATTTAGAAAGAAAATGTTTAAAATATCAGTTCACTCAGTTAAGTTCCAGAAGCGATCATGTCTCTTTCGATCAATGACGTACTAGGCAGAAGAGATTCCTAAAGCAGGTTGCCGTTTCTTTCTGTGATAGACTGGTTGACAACCAAGGCTACAGGACGGACCCAGCCTGTGCTGCTATTCAACCAACAGCCTGTGGGTGAAGATATCAATCCATATCTTCCTTAAGTGTATTTGCGCGTAAGTGAATGTGATGACCCAACTGGAATGACACTTACTAACCAAATAAAACCAATATATATGCGTGTGGGGGTCTGTGTTTGTGCGTGTGCCTCTCTCAGTGTGAGGGAGGGATAGGGGGACAAAAAGAGGGGAGTAAAGAGGGTGCAAGAAAAAAGAAAAGAAAAGAGAATGAGAGGCTTACTATAATTTTATGGATATTCGAAGTTAAAATGAAATCGTCGAATCGAGTTCGAATTTGGTTGTGTCACATTGTTTTTACGAAGCCCTAATTCAATAAGAAAACGGGAATATACAGGTGACTGCGCTTTAACCAAGTGACAAATAGTGTTAAAAATAATGTCTTGTTTCTGGCATGCCATGAAGAATGACTGAAAAATGAGTGAGTCATTGAACAAGTGGGCTATATCATTGTACAATCCAGGGAATATTAACCTGATAAACATATTGTCCGACTTTAGCGATATAAGCATATAGATACATAAAGAAATATAAGCTGAGATAGATAGATAGATAGATAGATAGATAGATAGATAGATAGATAGATAGATAGATAGATAGATAGAATTGAAAACTGGGATAGATAGATAGATAGATAGATAGATAGATAGATAGATAGAGAGAGAGAGAGAGAGAGAGAGAGAGAGGATGAGTTTTAGATGAGTTGGCAAGCTGAAACGTAGCTAAATTTTAATCCTACATTTTCACTGCGTCTGTGAATGAGTAACTAAACAGGAAGCCGTGAAATACGAAACGTTGATGTGACTGCACATGCGCATGAAGGAGAGGAGGCATTAAAATTTAAAAGTTAAAGTTGTATTTTAAATATGTGTCTAGCCCATTTCTTTTCGTTTCATTTTCATTCTGTTTTTATCAACACACACACACGCGCGCACACACACACACACACACACACACACATATATATATATATATATATATATATATATATATATATATATATATATATATATAAATATTGTCCCTCGCCGGTAGCACAACAGTTTCATGCACAATACAATCTTTCAGGTATTGGGGAGAGACCCAGTGTGTGATATCTTCTATTCATTCATTCATAGATAGATAGATAGAGAGAGAATAGTATCTCTGAGTACAGATTGAAAATATAAGTTAAATGTTTTATATATATATATATTTTATATATATAACATTATTTATATATATATATATTTTTATATATATATATATATTATATATATATATATATATATATATATATATATATATATATATATATATATATATATATATATATCATCATCCACAACCTAATTCTTTAACGCACACATATGCAGAAAATCACTGGACGGCTACTTTGCTGACTTATCAGCAGTGCGCATCCTCTACCAACACCGAGAATCGAACTGAGATACTTCCGATACGAAGCAAGCATCATATGATTGGGGCCAACGGGTTACGGCAGTGAAGATGGAATTAAGGCACAATATAGCACGGCTCACCCTTCCTGATAGTGACACTCTCGGAGCATATACAAACCACAGGACTGGACCCTAGAGTAACGACTTGTTTTTTACGGCGTATCAAACTTTTTTATGTTATTCAAAGACATAAAATAAATTCAGAAGGTAATAATATTTTTAGGGGGCGGGGGGAGATAATAATGATTTACTGATACAAGACCTATTATTAACCCGTAACTGGGAGGAGAAAAGGTATAAGCGAATGTAACAAAACAAACTGGAATTGAAACTCGATACTCCGATTAAACATTCCGAATCATTATCCATTACACCACCCGCACTTCCAAGCTTCCAGCATCTGGTATTTCCAAGCGGTCACCCTTCAAGATACTGAGAATACTTGACGTTGCTTAACTTCGGTGTTTCAGCGTAGGCTTACGTCGTATTTAAGCACATCACATAGTTTTACGCCTGCCAAAATAAAGTATGCATAGAATGTAGCATAAACATTTAAAAAAGCAAGCATTTTTTAAAAAATAAATGACAAATTCTGTTGTATATTTTTGTTTTTTAAAATCTTTTCAAAGTATATTTTATACGATAGGATTAATAACATAATATCATTCTTGGAGCTCATTAATGTTAAAGAATTATCGCGTGTACCTTGCCATTCGAAGCCAATAAATGACAGTAACAATATTATTCATCAGCTTTTTTGCGTAATTTCTTATTCTGACTTCAGTTCATCGTATTTCACGGCTTCCTGTTTAGTCACCCGTCCATAGTTGCAGCGAAAATGGAAGATTTAAATTCAGCTAACTACGTTTCAGCCTGCAAACTCATCGACAAACATACATACATCTATCTATCTATCTATCTATCTATCTATCTATCTATCTATCTGATTTATACTGGCACTGGGGAATCCCCTGTTTCCACGTTGTTATTTTTCAAATCAGGGAAAACACCCGCCTTCCTCTACTCTCTTATCTAATTCTATACATATAGATACGCGTGCGCACCCGCTTACACACACACACACACGCTCGCGCGTGCGCACTCACACACACACACAGAATCATATCTATCTATCTGTCTCTCTCTCTCTCTCTCTCTATATATATATATATCTTAGAATGGATTTTTTATTAATCTGACATATTTTTATCAATTTAAACGTTATTTTTTGTGGATATTCGTTTTATCTTAGACGCTCCGTTTATTTATTAAACAATATATTTTATCTATATACGTCTACAGGCCTGAATATTTATTAAACAATATATTTTATCTATATACGTCTACAGGCCTAAATGTTCGAGAAAACTTATTAAAGAAGAGCGTAAATTTTTCTTTAAAAAAATTTCTCGAACGTCCAGGACACCAGAAGAAAATAAATAAAATAAATTGTTTACAAATAAACGGAGCGTTTATAATAATGCCAAACGTTTGTTTTTAGATGGTTTGAGGAAAAATAGAAATGGAATGAAACAGCAGCGTAGCTTACTTCAGGCTGCAACTGACTTCAAGACGACGTGATTTTCAAAATTACCCCATACAGCACTTGCTTTTTACGTTGATGTAATTCATACGTTCTCTCTCACAAAGAAAAAAAGAAACAGAACGCTAGAGTCTCTTCGTCTTTTAACCAAAGGAAAAGAAAAAAAAAAACAACAAAAAACAGAATTATGCCATCAAGAGATGAATGACTTCAGTACATCTCGACTGGAGAATGTGTTCGATTTTGTAGACTAGTTTTCGCAGGTAGAAATATTTTTATGGCTTTCAAGAATATTTAAAATTAATCAGATTTTGACCGAAATAATTTGGGAGGACGTCAATTTACCCACGTTCAATAATTTGGTTATTTGGGGAAAAAAAAAATTAAAAGAAAGAGAAGAAGAAAAAAAACGCATATGAAGAAAATAAAAGAGCATACAAACGACCTATAGAATTTTTCTATACTATAGATAATGACATTTCATATATTTCTGTTGTAACTGATTTCTATTGATCGTAGCTGGTTTCAATTAATAGAAACTAATTATGACTTATAGTCACACCCACATACACACACCCACATACACACACAAACACACACACATATTATATATATATATATATATATATATATATATATATATATATATATATATATATATATGTGTGATGGACTCTCCGATCGATATCGATGCATGAGAATCCGAAAATCTCATTCATTTTTTTTGATGTTTTTGGTCGTATGTGACACTTAAATTCCGCTAGTGACCTGCATAAAATGTTGCCATATTGTGCAACTGCAAGAAACCCGGGACATAGCCACAGGAATATTTACTGACACTGATTCTGAAATTTCGGATAGCACTCTTGTACAAATGTGACTATTCACACAAAGTTTGTATGAGGGACATTGACAGCTGAGAGATGACGCTTTAGCTTGTCTTATCACTTTTGTGCACTTTCATATATATATATATATATATATATATATGTTTTATTCCGGCGCCTTTACATATTTTTTATATAGATGCATATATATATATAATTATATGTATATTTCTACAGGGATTTGTAAACACATAAAATTGAGCCGACGTAAACATATAGACACACGCGCATATATATATATATATATATATATATATATATATATATATATATATATATACATATATATATATACATACATACATATATATATATATATATATATATATATATATATATTATAAATTAATTAATTTAAAATATGTTTTTCATGAAAAAAAACATATTTTTAAATCAATTAATTATGATATTAATGTCTGTAAATTTACATTGAGCACTATTTTGTAAAATAAAATATCTATGACAACACCAGATTATATATCTTACTATTCTTTCTTTTTATTTATATATACATACATACATACATATATATATATATATATATATATATATATATATATATATATATATATATATGAATAAATAAAAACCATAGACTGTTGTTCATTCAAGAGTGTTATGACATTATGACATTATGACATTTTTACTTTTGCCTATAAATACTTGTTGCACAATAAAATTTTGCCTTGATATCAGAGGACGAAACACGTTGGCCAAAATAAGTTTTCCTTTCTTTATTTGTTCATATTGTGATTTTATGGATATTTTATTTATTGATAGCAGAAATTTTACACACACAAAACACTCATATATATATATATATATATATATATATATATATATATATATATATATATATATATATATATATATATATATATATATATATATATATATATATATATATATATATAGTTATTTTTTATAAATATCATTCAATGGAGACATAGAAATCACTGTTTCGAAACTTGACTCAAGTACTAAAGTTTAAATAAAAACATAAGTACTACAGAAGTTTCGATCATTAATCTAACTGTTCCTTCCCATTACATTAATACACACACGCACACACACTCACATGTGTGTGTGTATGTACGTACGTATATATATATATATATATATATATATATATATATATATCTGTATGTGTATTTATATATGTATGAAATATGTGGTCAAATTATTTTATTAGAGTTGATTATATATTTATGGACCTGGGAAAACAGCAATTAAACACTTCTCAAAACTGATCAATGGCCTTGATGCCGGATGTCGTTTATTGGTATACAGAGGACAAAACGTATTAGTAAAAAAAAAGTCAATTAAAAAAAAAAGAATTATTTATCTGACCATCCTGACATCTTAATTTTTACTTTTTTTCATCCACTTTCTCAGAATTTTTCTTTATTGTCAATTAAAAATTCATATATATCCATTTATTTACTATAAAATAACCCATAAGCGTACAAATTCTTACAATTGTAAAATACATTTATACATATATCTATATAATATTAAACTTGTGTGATTGCATGTGTGCTTGTGTGGTGGGTGGGCGTGTACGCCGCATAATTATTTAAGTTAAGCTGATTTAAAAAAAGTGAATAAGATTTAAAAATACGAGTTGTTTAGACAGTATTTTCATTTGAACTCTCTTCAGCAGTCAGTGACCCAACGGGTCACAGGTAATCTAATATATATATATATATATATATATATATATATATATATATATATATAT